GGTCTGGGCAGATGCCGGACGGGTGCCGCGGGAATCCGGGGACTCCCCATTTTGATTGCCAGGAGCCACATTTTGAATGCCCGGAGCCACCAGAACACCATTCCCAGGCCACATCTTGAATGCCCGGAGCCAACAGTAGGCCACTTCGTGTTCTTCGTGTTCCCAGAACACCATTCCCAGGCCACATTTTGAATGCCCCGAGCCAACTGTCGGCCACTTCGTGTTTTTTGTGTTCCCAGAGACTAGTCCTGTACCATCTTTTGATTGCCCGGAGCCAATTGTGGGCCATTTCGTGATCTTCGTGTCCCCAGAACACCAGTCCTGTGCCATATTTTAAATGCCCGAGCTGAGGCAGGCTGAGGCCGAGGCAGGTTGAGGCTGAGGCTGAGGCACGCCGAGGCAGGCTGAGTCTGAGGCTGAGGCAGGCTGAGGCTGATGCAGGCTGAGGCTGAGGCTGACGCAGGCTGAGGCCGAGGCAGGCTGAGGCTGAGGCTGAGGCAGGCTGAGGCTGAGGCAGGCTGAGACTGAGGCTGAGCCAGGCTGAGGCTGAGGCTGATGCAGGCTGAGGCTGAGAGGCTGACGCTGAGGCTGAGGCTGAGGCTGAGGCTGAGGCCGAGGCAGGCTGAGGCTGAGGCTGAGGCAAGCCGAGGCAGGCTGAGGCTGAGGCTGAAGCTGAGGCAGGCTGAGGCTGAGGCTGTGGCTGAGGCTGAGGCAAGCTGCGGCTTAGGCAGGCTGAGGCTGAGGCTGATGCAGGCTGAGGCTGAGGCAGGCTGAGGCTGAGGCTGAGGCTGATGCAGGCTGAGGCTGAGGCAGGCTGAGGCTGAGGCTGAGGCAGGCTGAGGGTGAGGCCGAGGCAGGCTGAGGCTGAGGCAGGCTGAGGCTGAGGCTGAGGCTGAGGGTGAGGCCGAGGCAGGCTGAGCTGAGGGCCGAGGCAGGCTGAAGCTGAGGCTGAGGCTGAGGCTGAGGCAGGCTGAGGCGGAGGCCGAGGCAGGCTGACAGGCTGAGACTGAGGCTGAGGCTGAGGGTGAGACCGAGGCAGGCCGAAGCTGCGACAAGGTGAGGCTGAATGGGGGGGGGGGGGGGGGGGGGGGAGGGGGGGCTGAGGCAGGCTGAGGCCGAGGCTGAGGCCGAGGCAGGCTGACGCCGAGGCAGGCTGAGGCTGAGGCGAGGCAAGCCTGAGGAGGCAGGCTGAGGCTGAAGGCTGAGGCTGAGGCTGAGGCTGAGGCTGAGGCTGAGGCTGAGGCAGGCTGAGGCTGAGGCTGCAGGCTGAGGCCGAGGCAGGCTGAGGCTGAGGCTGAGGCAGGCTGAGGCTGAGGCCGAGGCAGGCTGAGCTGAGGCCGAGGCAAGCCGAGGAGGCTGACGCTGAGGCTGAGGCTGAGGATGAGGCCGAGGCAGGCTGGACTGAGGCCGAGGCAAGCCGAGGCGGCTGACGAGGCTGAGGCTGAGGAGGCTGAGGCCGAGGCAGGCTGAGGCTGGCCGAGGCAAGCCGAGGCAGGCTGAGGCTGAGGCTGAGGCTGAGGCTGAGACAGGCTGAGGCTGAGGCTGAGGCTGAGGCTGAGGCTGAGGCTGAGGCAGGCTGAGGCTGAGGCCGAGGCAGGCTCAGGCCGAGACAGGCTGAGGCTGAGACTGAGGCCGAGGCTGAGGATGAGGCCGAGGCAGGCCGAAGCTTAGACAAGGTGAGGCTGAATGGGGGGGGGAAATGGGGGAAGGGGAGGAGGGGGGGTTGAGGCAGGCTGAGGCCGAGGCAGGCTGAGGCTGAGGCTGAGGCAAGCCGAGGCAGGCTGAGGCTGAGGCTGAGGCTGAGGCAGGCTGAGGCTGAGGCTGACACTGAGGCAGGTTGAGGCATCTGTAGGAATCCATGGGAATCCTCAGGAATCCTTAGGAATCCTTGAGAATCCGTTGGTTTCCTTAGGAATCCGTAGGCATAGTTAAGCATCCTCAGGAATCCTTAGGATTCTTCAGGAATCCTTAGGTATCCCTCGGAACCTGGATTCCTAAGGATTCCTAAGGATTCCTGTGGATTCCTAAGGATGCTTTAGGAATCCCAAGGAATCCTTAGGATTCCATTGGATTCTAAGGCCGTTGCCACTGCGACTGTCATTGCGAATGCGAATGCGACTCCGAGAACAGCAGAATTCTACGGGCATAACAACCTGTGTCATGTGGCACAGTGTTCCAGGGGCGAGGTGGCTTGAGGTTTTCCCCTCCGTCCTCCCCTCCCCAGAGTTTTGGGGATGTCCCGCAAAATTCGCGACCGAGGTTAATTAATCTCGGTCATAAATTGCTCGGGACTTGGTCGGCCCTGACCTGGTGATCCTTTCATGTGGTGGCCACTTGGGCTCAAGCCACTCTCGTCACACCTCTTCACTTTTCGCATCCTCCAGCTTCCCGCAATGGCTGCGAGCTGGACGGCGGAAGAGTGGCGCGCGTTCCTGCAGTCAGTGGATGAGCAGGCAGCGGCGCCAGAGGTGGTGACGGAGGTGGTGACGTTCTTGACGTC